AGAGAAATTAGGAGTGAATTAGGGTATGTGTAATGCGTAATACATATGAATTAAAATATCTCAGAAACTAAAATTCGAGACTGCATACTGTACGCGACGAAATCGTTCAACATTTTATACTTAGTAATGTGCTATTATTGGAAATCGTATCTCAACGCGTCGCCATGCTAGAGAGGCGAAAAGGAAAAAAATAGTGTCAAAAACCAAATAATAACGGATCTTATGGAAGATATGGATTAAATTATCTCAGAAACTAAAAATCGGACCTGCATACTGTAAGTGAGGGAAATTTTCAGCATTTCATCCTCTTAATAATGAGCTATTATTTATATTTTTTATATCATATTATCAATTTGGGGGGTGTGGGGCAGCTCATTGGTAGGGTACTGAGCTTCTCCCAGGTTCGAACCCCCGGCTCATGGCAGAAAATTTATTTCATTGTTTCATTGGCCGTGGGCGACCCTTGGAGACCCTCCTGGGGCACACCTAGCCTCTTTAAAGTAGGTACCCTTAATTAAATTATTAATTAAGGGGAAAAACCTGGTGAATACCTGATCTCGGGCAAATCGCCTCCTTTCAAAACCGTTGACTTAGAAACAGTGCTTTCCCTAAATAGTACTGAACCACAGACTCTTAATGGGTTGTAGTGGTACAGGTATTTTTTTGTACGGCAGTCCCGGGTGCCAAACTCTATCAAACGCCAGTTCAACGTCGATAAAGACTCCCGTACAGTACATTCCGCGCTCCAATGCAGAGGAGACTACTGCTACCACACGATGACAAACCAAAATATAAAAAAAAATCACTTCTTACAGATTGTGATTCAGTTGTCCTTTTTTATTATTGAATAAATTTTAAAATCATATAAATCAATCTTGATACAGTAATTAATTGTTATAAAGTAGTTCTGAAGCTATAAAATGGTATTTAGTGTTAAAATAGTAGTATATACTATAAAATGGGATATACTTTTTTTTTTTTTTTAATTTTTATTATCAATTCGCCTTGTTGATATCTTCACTTCTATCGTATGGTCTAAAGAAGCACACACCTTAGTTTTTCTTTTATCTCTCTTAATCTACTAATCTCTCTTAATTTAGTACTTGGAAATTCGTGGATTTACATTAATATAATAATATTCTGATTCTGAGCGATTCTTACTGAGCCCTCAAACTAATAAAAAAAATTGAATTTTGCAGAAACCCTTTGTTGTTCTCTATCACACAACACATTATAAAAATCAACAAAGACATAAAATTTCTCTGGGACCCGAGCCATGTAGGTTTAACGGAAATGATCTAACAGATATTGAAATGGAGTAAATATAGAACCTAAAATAAAGTATTATTTTAAATCCTGAAACCTATCTGCAAAAAAGAACTATAATTAATGAAGCAAGATCAAGGCTATAAACGTTAAACGTTATAAAAACATCGCTTAGAAGACTTTATGGGATCCGAAATAAAATCCATTATTTATAGCCGAAAATAAACTTTTATTATTCGTCTTGTATATTACGAGATATGTTTATTTTATCCGTGCCCAGAGTCTAAAATTTTCTACATCTTGTTACTAGGCCAAAATTATAGCAAAATATAAAATTAATAGTACCATGTTGAATAATAAATAAACTAAATAATTGAGTAAAGAAATTTCCATTTACGGTTCATCTTATCTGAGGTCGATTGGTTTTCTTGTTTTTGTCATCACTCAGTTTAGAGTTGATAAGAGCTGGCAGCTTGTTTTTAATTCTGGACCCTTCCAAATTAACCAAAACAACAGCGCAGTACTGTCCGATTTAAGATAATCAGTTAGACAGCCTTACTCACAGGAGTGAAAAGCTAGTATACTGAGAAAATAGTTAAAAACAGCGTGTTTATTTACAATATAATAATGTAGTATTAATTCAATTAATATATCGATATTTTCTAAAAAATAATACAAAACAAAAATGCTTAGTTCGTGGTACAGATTTCTTTTTATCAAATTATTAACATAACAGGCCCCTAAAACTTTGAGAATAGCTTCTTACCTGTAACTTATTAATTTATGCAATTGTTCGAACTTAGGACCTTTTCAATCTAGAGATGGTCAAACATTGTTTACTTAATTAAGTACTAAAAACTCATGAACAACCATTTGATTTCCAATTGAATCGTATGATAATTTGATCACAAAAACGAGAGTAAACGCGGCCTATAAAAATATTGGGCCGTTTGAAGTGACCTCCACCTCCAACATGTCAAAATAACGAGGTTATATAAGCCAAACGGCCGAATATTTTTGAAGACCATTTTTTGTTTTTGGATTTTGTTGTTAAATTATCTTAAGATTCAAGACCTAAAAGGGTATCTATAAATTTTTTTAAATGAATTAATTTATTGAGAAAACAACTCGTTTCTGAAAATTTTCTTAGGTTAAAAAAATTGTAGGTTAAGACAACATGAACCAATTTACGAAGTTTCAGGTGGATGTTAATAATTAGATAAAAAGTGGTCGGTACCACGAACTATCTGATGTACCGAGTAGGAATAATTAAGAATAAAATAAATATTTGTCTTTATGTAGTTTTGTTTAAGGTGAAAATATGATTCATAATAAAAGGTTTTGGCTGTATTTATTCCTCCATTATTATTTTTTTTGTTTACACTGGCAACGTTTCGGCTATGTCGCCATCTTCAAGCCGTTAATAAGATTAAATTAACGATGTTGTGTTGTAACTATGTTCTGTCCAACATGTTAGATGTTCTGTTCAAAATTATGAAAAAAAAAAAATATGTAACTCGAAAAGTACACAACTTTATGAGTTAAATGGTACATTATATGAGTATTTGAAATCTTACTAAATTCTTTAAGAAATGCAAAAAAAATCCCTCGAAATTGGACGATTTGATGTAGAGTAATAGCATTCTGAAGATTTAATATTTGTTGAACTGCAATGAAAAACTTAATGCATTAAAATTAGATACAAATATTACATTTGTGCACAAGTATTACACAATATGTGCACAAGTATTACACAATATTTGCACAAATATTACATTTCGCACGGGTCAACTAGTACATTTATATATAGATAGATAGATACAAACAAATTTATTCCGAGACAAAGACAAACTCTATTGAGAATAAAAAAATACAATAAATTAAAATATTACATCTGTCCTAAATAAAAATAACAGAAAAAAGAAAAAGAATAAAGAAAACATTAGGTAAGCATGCATAAAAAACAAATAAAACTATATAAAAAACATTTCAAACTATAATTATACACATTTCAGGAAAATAGAAAATATCTTAATTTCTTCTTTAAAATAAGCGTTGTGTTTCTGCTGTGAAAAAAGGAAGCCGAATCTGACAATATAAAATGACTGAGTACTTAAATGATAAAAAATATGTAAATACAAAAAAAAAAAAAAAAATCGTAATAAACAAACAAAAGATGCATTCAGTGCCATCGAGAGTATGAAAATCTTGTAATATCCTTAACAAAGAAAAGCACTAGCATTTGATGATGGATTACATGAAATAAATGCATAATGTTAAAAGGTTAACAACTATCTTAATGTTTTTGGTATATGAGGATTTTGAATGTGGAAATAGAGAGGAAAATACCGATTTTTGATAGAGAGAGGATTCCAAAAATTTACAGAGCCAGCAATAAAGGAGTTTTGGAATGAGGCAGATCTGTCAGAAGGGATGTAAAGGTCACTAGGCCAAGATCTTGTGGAAAGGAAATGGAATGAGGACTTGAATTGGGGAAGGTAGTAGGCGTAAGAAGGCCGATTATTGTTGATGATTTGATAGAGGAACGTACCGAGGAAATATTGTCTTCAGAAGGAAGTGAAGAGCAACCTTAACTCAGTGTAGTAGTGAGAGACATAGTATCTCTGGCCCCTAATTACGAATATCACGCAACTATTCATTCTATCAGTTATATATATTATTTTTCTATATATTACTTGATTATTGTGTATTGAGTAAATAAATAATTATATAAATAATGTAAAGTAAAAAAAAATAATAATAGTAGAATAAAAAAAAAAACCTGCCCTCTCCCAATTAGTAAAACCCTTTTATCAAGATTAATCTATAGCGCGCCCGGCCGCTATCATCCCTCTAGCTCCTACCCCGAGTTAAAGTGGCTTTATCCTAGTTTCCGGCGGCAATATTTCTTTGGTGATTTTTTGTTCCAACCACTAACTACCAAAAAATCTTCCCTTTATTTTTTCATCTTATGTTACAGCCCCTTTAGTTTTTTATATCCCAAATATTCGTTAAAAGTATTTTTATTATTCTTTTTCCTTAAACTTTAGTTCAAACAAATGAAAATAGTTATGATCAAAATTAACAAAAAGAAATTTTAATGGGAAAAAACAATAAATTAAAAAAAAAATGATATGTTTTCTGATACCTTCAGAAAGGATGATTTTTATATAAAAATAGTAATAATACTTGTATTGTTTCAAAGGGTAATCCTGAAGCTTGTAAAGAATACGACGTCGTATATGAACATAAATAATTAAACAGTTCAAAAATATACAACAATTAACTTTTATTACAACCGCCCCCTCCAAAACAAAAAAAAATAAATAAATAAAAAGTCTGCCAAGTAGTTCGGTATTCTTCACCACTTCAATTAAGTATATAAGGAAAAAAGAACTGTAAAAACAAATGAACCTAAATAAATATAATGATTTAAATTTTCATTTTGACGTAATTCAAAAAATTACAAATATATATACATACATACACATATATTTACGAACTTTAATGAAATTGATGACGAACCATTTGCACTCGTCTCTCTAAGTATGATGGGCAAGAAAGTAATAGATGAAATCTGATTTCAATTCATTCGATTAACTAACATTTCTATATATTAGCATACATAGTAATACATTTTATTGTAAGATTGTATCCATCATAAAAATATATTATTATCAATAAAGTTAATTCACAGCAAAATATAAGAAAATAATCAAAGTAGATATTCATACCTGAAGACGAAGTTTCAAAACTAGTTCCTCAAGCAAACCAGGTTCGCAATCTTGAAAAATTCTGACCTAAAAAATGAATAAATGTTATTTAGTATTTTAAAATCAATATTTAAAAATATCATTACATTCGTTGCATTGTTATAGCACGAGTAAAATATTGCAGCGAATTGCATTCCTCGCATCACAATTCAACCTCCCATCAAATATTTGCTCTTCATTATTTACAATACGAGCGCGGTTGTTGAAGCAGTATTGATTATACCAGTTGGTGAGAGGAAAACAACCGTGCCCCAACAGTCATTAATAGCTGAAGAGTGGTTTCAGCAATAGCCGAAGTATGGTTTTGTAAATACGAACGGTTCTTACGAGTCGAAATTGAAATTAACTTGTGATATATTCTATTATTGTTAGTTTAAGCACGCCCATGTGAAAGCTTGTTCCAGTTGTGATGTAACGCTAGGTGTTCCTGAAAATTAACCCGAATACGAGTAACTTCATCTTGCACTCCTACCTATTATAGGAAAAATATTTCCAAATAGGATAAAGCCTATCCTAGAAAGTCGTGAAATTATAACCGAAACAATAATCCGGTCTTAGTTCGTATCACTTCACAGTGCAACAATGTCGTCGAATAGAGGACGCTCAAGGATTTTCATAAATATTGAAAAAAACGTTCAATAGAGTCTTGCACAAGGGCCTACTATGAAAAACAAACCGCACATACCTTCTCTTACTTTCTGATACTATAATCTTTCTTCCTTGGCAGGTTCTTCTGAACTTCTGTTGATTCCTTTACTTCTCACTTCTTTCCTCAACTTGCAGGCGTACCTAAAGGTAGTTTTTTGAGTCCTCTACTCTTTTCTCCCTACAGAACTGATATTCCTGAGCATCCTAGCTCCGCCATATGTTGCTTCGCTGAGGAAACTGCAATTCATTTTACGCACAAACACACAACTATTGCCATTCAAAACCATTCATGTGACCTTGAAAAATGGTCCCACAAATGGGAAATTGAAACAAATTACAGCTAATCAATCGATGATAGTTTTTTCCTGCTGAAAGTTAAAAAAGAAAAGTAAAATAAACGTGCTACATTATAATATTTTTTTATCAATTTCCATAAACTTAAATTGAAGTTATAAATAATTATAATTTTAGAATATTTAAGTCACACATCATCTGTTGCTAGAGGAAGGACAATTCCCAATTGAAACTAGAACGGATCAGCCCCGAATGAAGGACTTTAATATTTATCAATAATAATAATAATATGGTCAAATTTAAGTAATATTTATTTAATACAACAAAAAAAAAAACGAGTTTACAGTCTTTAAAATACAAATGATCACATTATTTGACTATCAATCTTCTATAATATAAAAAAATTGAAAATCCATCATTGCAAGTATCACGAGGTATAAACTGTTTCCGAGTTAATGTTGGATGCAGTGGAATACGATAGCTAGGAAGTAATTACTTTGACATGTGTAGCAAATGGGCTGTCCAGTTTAATGTTCAGGGATTAAGTTCCATTCAACGCTTCATTCACGTGTACAGGGCCCTATAACAGCCCTACATATATTAAGGGAAGGTAAAGGGTGGGTGCGGAAAGGTAGAAATAAAGGTAGATAGATTGCTTAACGTAGAAAAATAAACAAAAAACCATGATAAAAAAATACTAATAGATGAAACACGAAAAAAACAAAGATAGAAGGCTGTAAAAACACACACACACACACACACACAAACAAAAGAAAAAAATATTAACTCTTCCTATTATTGGGTATAAATGTAACAACAATTTAAAAGTATTATTCTGACAAATCCTACTAACTGACTTCCACCTGCCAACAAATGAACAACACACTTTACCAACAATCTCTTACTAAATTACATGGTCATAGCAACATACTCACCTCTTTCTTCTTTCGTGAATATTTTTTGTTAGGAATTAAAGAATGATTTTGAACGTTTTCTTCTTAATACCAAAGAGAATGGTCAACCAAGCTTATGGATGATTATTCAGTCTATTGTTCGTTGATGTAGTATTATGTTTCATATGATATTGATATCGCCACTAAACCTATCAAAATTGACTTACGCCACAAGACGATTATGACCCGTTTATCGACGGAATAAGACCATTTTTTCTCCACTAGTAAACATTATTTTAGTCTTATTTGAAGTGAAATATTTCTAAACGTCTAAAAAGCAATATTTAGGACATTTAATATTTTTTATTTGATAAATTCTTATGGTCTTTATATCAATTATTTAAATTAGAATCGAGTTCAATTAGTTATATAAACTTGTTACCTTCCGTTATACGATTGGAGCAGCTGGCTCGGTGTATTTTCTGGTAATTATTTCATGAATGTATTTTCTGGTAATTATTTCATGAATGTATTTTCTGTTAATTATTTCATGAATTTATTTTCTGTTCATTATTTCTAGAGAGCAAGACTAGCGCCATCATTATCATACCCTTCTCTTCTTAATCAGCATTCTTATATGAAGCTGAATAAGGATTTAAATGAGTGACAATCTGCTGTAGATCATCAATATCGTTCAATCAATCGATCAGGGTTATAGATTGTTCACCGATTTCGTTTCTATCAAATGATGGTTGTTTACATATCCCAACCTTTCTTTCAGGCCAGGTATGACCAGGTCGGTGAAAAAAAATGTCATTCGTCTACTTTGTGGGAGAATCCTCTCTCTAAAGGCGCTTCAGGTTCAGACGCTCCGTTTTGTACATTTTGTCTGCGCAGTCTTAAGACGGAACGAAAACGTTGCAATTTTTAGAGCGTCCACACGAAACAGACATATCTGTATATTTTGCTCAGTTATGTGTGAGACCGTCATGGAGGAGGTAGTACTCTGGTCGATTTTCGCGATATGTCTGGTTAAAAAAAAAAGATTGAAACATTTCAGAAGTACCCGTTCAAAGTGATCGCTGAAGTGACTTCTAAAAAGGCAGCACTTTGCATCCGTTGCATCAATTTCTTTAAATTACTTTGCAAATATTTCATACGCCTCTCTCTTCTAATCCCTGTCACTGTATTCTTTTGATTTAACGCACCAAATGCACGGAACACTTTCATACAGAGAAATAAAATCGGTTAAAAACTCCCTAGAACATTGGCGGTCAGCCATTGTCGCCCAACGAATTGAAACTGAGTAACAAAATGAATCTTCAAACGGTGCAGTTCAAGAAAATCTATGCTCTCTGGCTCAGTTTTAGTAAAACTGTACCGTCTTCGAAATGGTTCAAACTGCACAGTTTTCCATTCCACACGCAACGTTTTATCTGCAACGTTTTGAACTCCGCAGACGTTGTGCAAAACGGAGCTTCTGGACCGGCCTTAACAACTAGCCTCCCTCTCACTCATTCAAATTCACAGTAATTCCTTTAAGTCAGAATAATATCTGTGTATTAACCAATGACGAATGGCCGATCTCGGGGAATAGATCGGAATAGAAACATGAAAAAAGCGAGAGACGGCTTTTGATTTTAATCAAAGGTATGCCAATATTCCTGTATGTTGCAAATTACAATTAAGTTCTTTTAAATGGAGTTGGGATATATATACAAGTTAGTTGATTGGTAATCATTTAATCGATTGAAGCGAGACCATGGAATTAGAGACACTGCACTATTGGCAGTTGTTATTCTTAATAAGCAAAAGAAAACGATGTCAAAACTTTTGGAAAAATTTTACATCAGTGTTCCAAGCAGTTAGTGTTAGAAAGATTTTGATCGAAACAACAATACATAGCCAATTTTTAATTTTTAATTTTAACCAATATAATTATTAGTTATTATTTCAATGTCAAGTTGATTGACTGGATCATACACGAATTGAACAGAATAGAAAATCCTACCTAAAGGACGAACGTGTATTCTGGATGTTTCTTCCATTCTGCGAATGAAATAAAAATCCGAGAGACAATGGAAGGTAGTTAAGATCCATTGAAACCCGACCCATTTGAGGGAAATGAAAAACCAGAGGAGTGGCCATCTCGGATCCTCCGCCCGACCCTGACCAACTAGTGTCGGGGCAAAAAGCGCTTTCGTGTCCCGCCAAGATAAATGGATGTGGGAAGTGGAGGATGTGCTTTGGAATGGCCAAACTATTCCTATATACTTCAAAAATTTGATTTTATTGTATCTTCATGGATAATTTTACTTGTTCTAACTTAGTCGGTAGAAATGCGGAATGTTAAAATAAATAGTAGTAAATGATGCCATATTTCATTTTTTTGTTCCATTAAATGCTAAGTTAATGTCATTTAAAAATGTTTTATGTAATTTTCTAAAAAAAAAACAAAAAAAACAATATTCATTAGATTTTAGAAAAGTATTTCAATTGTCTTACATGTGTGTTATTCGTTAGTTTACTCGACAACAATCGGAAGATAAAAAAGTTTAAATAGGAGTCCGAACTACTTACAGCCCAAATAATGGCTGTAAGGAATCTTGGCTGGCCCCGACATGTCTTTCTATGCCAAAGAAAAGGGTCGAATTTATTTAAGTTATATATATATTTTGGGTGCATGTCGGTGCGAGGACATCTTTTTATTAAGTGAGTTACAATCTTAGGCTTTTTAGATTGAACTTCGTAGGGTCAGTAAGCAAAGTTTACCAGAAGAGGCAAAATGATGGTAAAAATTAATGACTGTAGTGATGATTTGCCATTTACCTATTCGTCAAGAATACCGAATTATTTGAGGTCTAATATAATGTGAAGTGATGCCCATAATGACCGAATTGATTCCTCCAAACTGTTTGTAGGACTACATCTAAGAAATAAGAACCAATATTTCCTGATTATAAATGAAAAGACAATCGCAGACCATTACGTGTCCAAGTAGATCATAAAGTGTTAAACATAGAAAATGTCAACAGCTCTACGATTTGTATATTTCTCGTGAAAGGGATCACTTCTGGTTCACTCAAAGCTAAAGATATACTTAAAAAAAATTAGGAGATCTGAAACACAAACACTACTGTATCTATCGGAGTTCAAAGTGACTCATAAGATCTTGGTTTAAGAGGTTGATATACGAAACTAATATTGTTGCAAACAAACTGAAACGAATTCTGGTTGAGGTCGCCTTGACTAGACAGTGGGTTGAGGTTATAATAGCGTCGTCACCTTATCAACCTTTCGAGCCTAGCAAAGCGAATTTGATCCAACCTGGGTAGGTTAAAGTTTGTTTCGTGGTGGATCCACGGAGTAAACATCGACTTTCCACTTTTTTTTATTAGAATAGATTGGTTTCCCGTTGCCTCCCTTTCCGTATGTAAGGAATGATGTAATAGAGAGTAAAAGAAAAAAAGGAAATGTTATCAATTAGTGTTTCGAGTAGCAATTATCGATGTATTTTGTACTGATTACCACTGACATTATCCTCCTTCGTCCCTGATGTTCTTCAATAGAATTTCCATCAAGAAGTAGACAATCTCCAGAGAACGAGTTCCCATTCGAGGTCAGTTAATCGGGCAGTTTGCCCAACATTTGCTCTTGGGGCTACTTAACGATCTCCAAGGGTTTGACCTATTGTACGAAGAACCGGGAAACGTTACAATGATAGAGTAGCGTTAGCTAAACTTAGACAACAGTTTAGATGATAATCACATTTTCACTGCGATATGGGATAGGTGATGCAAAAGAATTCTCACCGATGAAAAATAAGGTAAACGTTTTTCAGAGCCACGGAGTGACTGCAAATTACTTATTTAAAAATCGAAAAATAGTTATAGTGATATCCATAAAATATCACAAAATTGAGTTTAACACACTTTTCAGGTGCCACAGATTTAATACAAAATACACTTTCATGTATATATGCACACTAGTGAAAGGCAAAAATCATTAAGGTCACGTACTGCGCTTGGAATTTTTGATGAGGTTGCAAAGTTTTAAAATACTTGATGACACAAATAACCTCACGAAGCAATCTCCTCCACCCCCGAAGTTGCGAAGAATTTTCCGGTCTCTATCAGCTTTTGCACATCTCACGATCAGTGCGACTAAACCCCAACGCAACAGATGGGACCGTACAACTCTAATTCATCTCTGCATAATATATCGAAATATTCAATCATGGGGCAGAAAGTTACCAAGCAGCTACATTCAGCTGATAATTATGTCCTACCACATTCGTTTCCGTTAATGAATGGTCTTAGCTCTCTCATTCAGCCCATTTTGAGCCTCGTAGCAAGCGCAGGTGGCACGTGTCGAAAGATGCATAAAGCCTCACTTATATTCTTTAGATCTGTTTTACTCTTAACACAATATATTCTTGAAATTAATTCTAATTTGAGAGAAATAATGATAGCTTATGAAATAATTAATACATTAAAAATCAATGGGAATCCAAATTTAAATTAAATTTAGATGTTACTTGTGAATTTAAATTAATCTTTAAGGCTATGGAAATATGTAAAAGTAAATATTGAATTACAAATTAGTTTGATACAATTCAATTAGTAATTTTTAAAATATATACTACCATTTCAATACTTTACAAAGAAAATAACTTGAATTCATACCTGTTTGAGCGTGTCTAGATGAACATGGATAGCAATTTCTGCTTTCAACTTGTCAGGAAGTGCAGCTAAAACCCTATCTTCATCGAGAGCCTAAAAAACAATAATTCATGCATATTTAACCATATTTTAATTTTATTAAAAAATGAAAAAATAAATTCAGATCTCATCAAGATCAAAAATAAACAGCCCCACTTGTATCTGATAAAATGAAACTGTGACCTCGCATAATTTCGGAAAAACCCTTGGCTTATCACTGTTGGAAAACTCCTCATTATTAGATCGTAACAATTTCGTCGGGTACGAAGGCATAAATATAAGAAGTTATATGTATCGTACATATCAACCATAATATTATTGAAAATATTTTTTTAAATTTATTCATGAAAATTATGTATAATATAAATATACATCTAGTAAATATGTACAGAAAAATATAATAGCAAGAAAAGAATTTCAGAAAATCTACCCATTGTTAGCGCTCTAATAAAGTATCTAAATTAGGAGATCACGAGGCCATTTTCTTTTAAGACGCCTCGGAGGGTTATCACGGATCGAAGAGGAAGCAAGGTTAGACACAAGAGCATTAGGATTTTTTTTGGAGTTTATTGTGGAAAGATAGGTATCTGGATTGGGCCAAATCGGAAACATATGGAACATTAATGTCTTTTATTCATGGATTATTTTATTTGTGACAAAGTAAGAAGCATTGAGAATTATACGAAGGATTTTGGATTATAAGTAATGCATACAACAGGAATTCGATGGTTTAGTGGAGCCTATAAAAAGATGGTTTTCATTTCTTCACCTATTATCTCACCTCAGGGCATTATTAATGCGGTAATTATTGGACATGAAGGGGAAACGATATTAGTATGTTATTAATGCAGTAAAACTTCGTTATTGATGATTTTATTTGTGTCTAAATAAGAATTATCTAGGATTTTACGAAGGAATTAAGGGATTTTAAGAGTTGGATAAGAGAGGAATTCGATGGTTTAGTGGAATCCCTAAGCTCAACTCCATATGTCCAAATTGAAAGTGGACAACATTTATTTGAGTTTATTTGTTTTTATTTAAGTGCTGTCATTGAGTAGTTAATTTAAAAACCATTATCATGTTATTTATTCTATTATACAGCAGATTTACAATATTATATTTATATTTTTTTATACACTTGAAAATTTAAATAAATAAAGAAAGTCATGTGATCATATATGTTAATGATATAGAGATGGTTGACCGTGATATAGTATGAGAAGGTGTTGATCGGGGGGGTCAAATAAATACTAAATTTTAAAAATATTATTTTTAATTATTACGCCGTCGTTTCGACCCACCTTGCAGGTCTTTATCACGACTACAAAAGATACAAAATATAAAAGGTACATGGTGAAAAAAAATAAATGAATTATAAGTTACCATTAATACCACCATTAAATAAGAAACAGTTGTTTGATAAAGAAATAATAAGATAAAAAATAATTAGATGACATCAGAGATATAGTGGGTGTCAATGTAGTTAAAATATCATGTATTGTTTATATAGAAGATAGAAACAAAAATAGAAAATATTTTTATACATTCTTATTTTCTATTTTTGTTTGTATCTTCTATATATATAATACATGATATTTTAACTGAATTGTCACCCACTATATCTGTGATATCATCTTATTATTTCTTTATCAGACAACAGTTTCTTATTTAATATCTACTTATAATTCATTTATTTTATTTTAACAATGCACCTTTTATATTTTATATCTTTTGTAGCCCTGATGAAGACCTGCGAGGTGTGTCGAAACATCGGCGTAATAATTAAAAATACTATTTTTTAAAATTTAGTATTTATCTGACCGCATTCCCCGATCAACTCCTTCTCAGATCATATATGTTAATCCTGAATTATTATCTAATCGTCTCTGGTCCACTGGACACTTTCCAACTTCCTGGTTGTTGGAGGATTCTATATAAAATTCACTATTACTATACCCATTTAAACTGACCATGAATTTATGTCTTCTTATTTAGTTTAATTTATTTGCTGAATTTATGTGGACTGATTAGTTTGCCTTTGGACTTGATAAGATGACCAAATAATCAATGTTTAATATTTAAACTGTTTCAGCTCTTATTAAAAGTAGACGGCAACCAGGGCTATTCTAGAGACATTCATAAACACATATATGATAGCTTTGTCGAACATATCAAGCTATCAACAGCGAACATTCTGCTGGAATATTAATTGTTGGCCTGAAGATGACAGCTATAGGCAGTCCCAGCCATTATATCCTGACTGCTTCATAAATATAAATACAGGATATATAAATTTATTAGTATTAGGCTATAAGTGAAGCAGTAGCCAAACTTTTTTGTTTAAATCGAAATTGTTTTATCAACAACATAAGTTTGCAGAGGCGTATTGGTTATATTCTTTTGAGAAATCGTTTAATATCTCCGCCGTCAAAAAAAGAGGTATATGGAAATATCTTTTGTTGTAATCGTCCACTGTTTCTATAACATAGAGTCTAAATTATTGTATGTTCGTTTTCCCAAACGGATGAACTGAATAAAAATAATTTTAAAACGATAACGTGGGGTGAATCGATACAAAACCAGTATAAATCTAAACCAAAATCTTTTGGTTTATTGTTTTTAATAATGAACCATTATAATCGACCGCAAAAATTCAAAACTTAACCCTCCTAAAAATTTAAGGTTTTGCGTTTAGAACTAAAAAAAATCTTATAAAAAATGGTAATTTAAAATTTTACGAAATTTCCTGAAAAAAATTCATTGAAATTGGATCATTCGGTGATAAGATATGGTGTTAAAAAAATATCTAAGCCAATATTAGCAATCACTTTTTATTTTATTTTATTTTTTTTTAAAGGAAAGTAATGTCACTTTTGATATATTGTTGTTTGGAAATAATAAACCATTGTTTAATCATTTGTAGTGGTTTTTAATTCATGTGTATGTATTTAATGCTAACGTTTCTGTCCACTTTGTACGGTATTTATATTTTTACGAATGTAAAACATTTCATTTTGGTTTAGTTTATGTAGAGAAATGATAATTCTCATTACCAGGTTGAGTCACCTCATAATTTATCTCTCATGTTTACTTACCTAATTTATGACTAGATCAGATGAAAAGTGAATGTCCATAAGGTGGAATATTTCAGAGGTATACTCTTTAATAATATTATTAGCAAACTATTTACTTGTATGTTATTGGGGTGTTTGTGGAACTATTATTTTAAATTGTGTTCGGACTTCTCGGTTCTAGACCAGTTTTTCTATCATTGTTAAACTGGCTTTGGCAGAAGAATGTCCTTAAGTCTCTGCATTTTCGTAGATATTTAGAAACCTCTTTCGAGTAAAGCCTTGTTTGCACTGTTCTTAAACGATTTTTGGACGAAGGGCTAGAAATCGTGGGATCCAATATTAGGTAATTATATACGGACGTTTTAACAGCCCTTAGCTAACTTTCTACTCAGTAAAATTATAGTGAACGAAATACTACCTGGAGAATTAATTCCCATTATCAAATGGAGACTGGCTATCCAAATTTGAAAGGTCCTTTGGAGGAAAATCAGTTTTGAAGATGCCTGACTTTCGTTTGTCCTACATTCAAGTGAGATAGGGGATAAAAAAGAAAGTTTACTGGCACCCGAAATTGTTCGAATTTGACGAATGTTTTAAATTTAATTTCGATATTTAAAATGACGCTGTTTGTGTGGAAAATGTAGCGCAATTTAACATACGCAAGAGGACTCGGAAAAAGTATTACTTCAAACACTTCAGTATATTTTTTTGTATTTATGCAAGCACATGATTCGTTAATACAGTTTCACCCTATCTAAATGATTATTTCAATATTATATTTATACGGTATATTTTCCTATATAAAAATAATAATGCTTTATTTATTCTGGAACAAGTCCCTTTAGAAAAATGTGCAGAGATAAAAATATGGGCGTTGAAGCCTCAGAGAATAATTACAAAATAAACTGATTTATATAATGAATAAATAACAGAAAATAGTATTATTTACCTTCAATCTTCAAAAAAAATAAAATAAAATAAAATAAATGAAGTGTTTAAAACAAACTAATTATTTATATATATATATATATATATATATATATATATATATATATATATATATATTTACTACATCTATTTACAGTTTTATGAGAGCTGAACGGATAAGAGGTGATTGAACAGGCGAGATTTAAAGGTGGGGAAAGTATTGGAGCGATGGATGTAGGATGGGATAGAATTCTATAGGGATGTGGATCGAATAATGAAAGATCTGTCGAAAGCAGCGGTTCGGTGGGATCTTGTATACAAATACGAAGACCGGGAACGGCTTTGTGGGCGGGGTGGCCGAATGGGCTAACGCGTGTGCACAGAACCGCCGTTGCCTGGCAACCTGATATATGATTAATGATATAAAAATAGTCACGTGTTCACCTACCCACATCCTCTGGCCCGTGAAAACCCCGTATAGCCTTAACGGCGAGGAAGGGGAGTACCCCCCCTCCCCCTCCCAAAAAAAAGACCGGGAACGTCTTTTACGAGAGTAGACAGAGGATTTGAATTGAAGGAGCTCGGAGATGTATGAAGGAAGGCGGGATTGGATGACTTGGAAGAGGAAGGATGATAGGAAATACTTACGTCGGTAGGAAGGATAGAGCCATTTCAGCTCATCATAATAACGGGAAATAGAGGCGTCCCTTGGGATCCTGAAGATGAATCGTACAAAGCAATTTATCAAACGTTTTAGTTTCGCCTCGAGATCCCCGGAGACGTCCCTATATACCATACATCAATAGTATATATGACGGAACTAATGAATTTTATGTCCAGAACCGAGAATAGGTGAAAATACCGATAGTTGTCCGGTGTGTAATTCTGAAGAAAAAGGAGATACCATTCACTTCTTGAGGGTATGTAATATGTACAGTGAGATAAGAGCAGGGTCACTTCCCTTATTTCCCTCCCGTATTTCCTGGAGTCATATTCCCCATGTCTCTTGCCCGGCTGGCAATGTGCAGTTAATTAAAAAAAATAGTTCTTTAT